GAGCTCACTGGATGACCTTGGGTTAGTCACTGACTCTCAGCCTAACCTACCTCACAGGGTTGTTGTTGCAGGGATAACTGAAGAGGAGGCGAACCATGCAAGCTGCCTTGAATACCTTACAGGAGGACGGAATGTGGGGCTTGATGTGCTGTAATAATGATACCACATCTGTGCCCTTGTGCGTTGGCACTTTTTGTATTTTTGTATTTATTGGTAATTTATTATGTTCTATTGTATTTCAATGTATCTTATTGTGTTGTAAGCCGCCTCGAGGCTTCGGCAAGGGGCGGCATAGAAATGTTATAATAATAATGATAATAATAATAATAATCGGAATCAGTGCAAGAAGAATGACATTCTAATTGAAAATACCATTGATTCCATCAATAAGTAGTCAGTGGAAGAAAGTGACAGCCAGGAATCCATGAAAATGAGGCCAAAGATATTTTGGAAAATCTGTATATCCTTAATACTGAATTGGATGGACAGACAGAGCAGGTTCGATGCAGTGGAGGTCATTGTGCCATGGCTGAGAACAGACTTTGTGTGCAAAATGTTCCATCCATGCATATTCGGTTCCCAGTGTCTTCTGTTTAAAAGGAAGCAGGTAGCCCTTCATGGGACAGAGCTTTGCTTGTGATCCTGCAGAATTCCTACAACCCTTTTCCAGCCTCTCCAGATGACAGCTCCCAGAAGCCTGGCCTCCTTGGCTAATAGCCAAGGTTTTCCGGAACTGTAATCTAAAACATCCATGGAGCACCATGTTGGGGAAGGCTGGAGCAGATAACAATGGGATGGAGGAACAAATGCTCCTTCCTAATTCACTTAGAATAAGAAAGAGGATGTCTGTCTTTCTGTGTGTCCATCCGTACTGCAACATCAAGACTGGAAAAGCAAGAGATGTGGCATGCATATGAAGGAGACCCTGGCAGGCTGCACTTGGTGTGAATTTTGTTTTGTTTTTTCTGCACATAGTGATTCATTTTAATTTAAGTGTATCCGTGGCCTGGGCTGGAAGAGGGCAGTAAGGTCTTCGGTCACTAGGGGGCAGGTTTTCCTAACGACCCCATCGCTTGGAAGTCCATTCTGTTTGGACCCCGCTGCAGTGGGCATCCCTTCCTCCAGGGACAGACCCCTTCTGCAGCAGACTCTGGGCCCACCAGGGTGAGGGGTTTGCCTAGGAGCGCCCTTGGCCCATGGCTGCCCTTGGTGTGGGCAACAGTTCCCACTCTGAGCTGTGTAACTTTGTCTTGAGGGCTTAACTGTCCAAAATATTCAACCTGGGCAAAGCTCGGTCTGTTTGTTAGCATCTGTATGTTTTCAAAGCCTGAAACTCAGAATCAGAAAAAGCCTGTTGAAAACAAAAACAGAACACCACCTGCAAGCCTGGTGCTTTCCTTTGTTCCTTGCTTTGCTTCGTTATCAGTGCGCCCAGTGTTGCTGTTCTCTCCTACTCTGTGGGGACGGTTTCATAGCCACAGGGGAAGCCAAGCTCTGAGACGCAACAGCCAATAAGCAGCTGTTGGCCCGTGCTTAGGAGGCGGCAGTGGCCACGGGTTGGTAACACCTGTGGGGCTCAGAGAGGCACTTGTTTCGGAAGGCGCACGAGATAAAGCACGCAGCTTGATGCGTGTGGGAGCTTGGAGTTTTGAGATATCGTTGGCTGGCCGTGGGGGTGGGGAAGCGGCTGTTTTGAACATCTGCATGCCATTTTGGTGGCCGGTGGGAGATGCTGCGCCTAGGTGCAGAGCCAAGGGGTTGCATGACTCTGTGCATCAAGGGTAGGCAAGGTTGGCCCCCCACGCCTCAGCGGGGGCCCAATGACAAGAGCCCCTGGAATGCCAGCAATGCTTAAGGGTTGTTTTGCCCAAGGTCCTTCAAAAAAACTGAAGCTGGCATTGTTTTTGCAGCCCCAGAAAGTGACACTGAGGGGCTGAAAAACTGAAAATCCACAGGATTCAGGAGACCCTCCCTGCCAAAGTCTGGAGGCATCGTGGCAAGCGTAAAACCATAGACTCTTGAAACAGTTGCACGGCTTCTGGGATCCTGTGGGCACCTGGTTGGCCATCATGTCAACAGACTGCAAGGCTAAATGGACCCTGGACTGCATCCAGCATGGCTCTTACGTTCTGCTGTCAAGGTTGCACATTAGTAAATAAACAGAAGAGCCAATCCAAGATCCTACTAGTGCAGATCCGACTAAACCTATTGCTGAAATCCCTGAGAAATGCACATCTGGCCTTGCACTCATTCCTGTAATGTTTGAAAGGTCCCCAAGAATGGTGCAGAGAACAGGATCACTGGCCGTTAGATGTTTGGAACCCTCCTTGCCTGTAGAAGGGCAGCATGTCTGGGAGAAATGTCTTCGCCTCATGTTCTCCCGTTTTGCTAGCTTTCTCTCTGCAGAATGTTTTTTAGGCAATGGAGCAGGAAAACATGCCACCGTCTGCTTTTATTCTGTGCCTGGAGGTTGCCTGCTCCTTCGTGGGTTAGCACAGGTGTGGGCCACACCTCAGAGGCAAAGAGCAGGTGTAAGCAAGTAGGGATTTAACACAGTGTGGTCCTGAGGCACTGGGTGCATCAACCCTATGGCAGCCAAGCAGGTCTGTGTCTTATCAGTGTCTGCATGGAACTGCCTTCAACTCAGGTTCCTAGAAGTACTGTGGGGCAGAAGTATTATTTCCCATAGAAAATAGGGAGCATGTTGTTCTGTCTTTCTGTCCATCAGCAGCAAAACCATAGAATCTGGACACCTGAAGCTTGGTAGACATACCAAAGGGACCTTCTTGGTTTTGAATGTATGGGTTATTTATTTCCAGGCAAAATGGTTTCATTTCATATGTGGGTGACGTCTTCAGCTGCTCTGCTCTGGGAAAGCTCTCCCCTTTGTTCCTGCTTTCTGTGGCTCTCTTGGACGGAGCCCTTGGAGGTTGCCTGTTGCTTCTGGGTAGGCAGTTGCTGTGCTCCCAAAGAAGGCAGGTGCCCAGTCGCAATCTGGGCTGTTAAAATCCCTGGCTGATAATAAGGTGCATGGATTGAAAGCCTGAGCCATTTCTGCTCTGATGTTTTAGTGCAAGGGTATGCTTACAGCCCGCACCATGCCCTGGCAGGCCCCCTTGTTGATTCCCCCCCCCCCCACACAGTTTTTTGGTCCAGCTCTCTGAGGAGTACTAGGAGATGAAATGCAACTACTCTTGCTGTTTCCCACAATGCCCCCAGCCTAGCATGATGCCCATGGCATGGTGGGAAATTGAAATGATGGCTAGACTCAGCTACCCAGCACCGCTTGGAGTAATCCTGGCACAGGCAGCTCAGTCTTCAAAGCTCGTTGGCAGGGGAAGGGGCGTCTTGGACAGCCAAATCCCCAGCGAGCATTCACAGAGGGGTGCCTCCGAAGATGTTCCAAGCACCCTCAAACCTGCATCCTGCATGTACTGGCATGCCTGATCCTGCTTACATGTCTTTGGCGTGTTGGATGCATTGTCTAATTTGAGCGTCTAATTCTTGCATCCTCTGCTGTATCAAAGAAGTTCTACCATCTCCATGGCTACAACCCACAACCAGCCCACACATGTTAAGGCGAGTGGAGGCAGGGACTCCTTTGAGCTGCAGAGTTGTCTCAGAGAAGCCTCTTGGCCCAGGGTGTCGGTTCCCCTTCCCCCAGTCTGGAGCCCTCCAGGCCTGTGGGATTCCCAGCAGCCCCCCGCTAGAATCAACCCCCATTTTCTCTGGATTGACAGTTCCCTGCCCCCTTGCCTGTGGGCTGTGGGAGCCCTGGACTTCGGCTCGGAGCTCCAGCCCCTTTCGAATGCCCAGGACTGCACGGAACCTCTGGAGAGCTGTGTGCGCGTATGCCGGTGGAGATTTGCTGGAAACAAGCACTACATTAGCTAAAATATTATGCCTAGATGGGTTTTGGTTTATGTATAATCTGGAGAAAGCCGCACACAAACTGTTCACATACATGCATTTTCCTTTCAGCTTCTTTTGTTCTGTGGAAATTTTAGCACTGGCCTGGGATGGGAGAGCCCAGTAAAAGCAAGCCAGTGAGCACCAGTATGGTGTGGTTAAAAGAACTGGTTGCACTGGGGACCCAGGTGATCAAGGTTCTAGTCTGCACCCAGCCATGAGTGACCTTGGGCCAGTTCCTAATTATTAGGTTAAGCTACCTCACAAGGCTGTTGTTGGGATTAAATGGAGACGAGAAAGACCAGGACAGCTGCTTTGGTTTCCTTGCAAGAGGGAAAAAGTGGGATATAAATGCAATAACAACCATTTAAACCATAGGCGTGATTTCCCGCCATATTTTGGCCGTATTTTCACATAACAACCAATGCTTTCTGTTCTCTTTGTTGCACTCCAGCATGCCTGAAGATGGAACTGAGGATTTCTCACTTTGGGCCAGTTGCTGACTCTCAGCCTCGCCTACCTCACAGGGTTGTTGTGAGAAAAGATGGAGGAGAATGATGCGAGCTCCTTTGGGCACCTTGCAGGAACAAGGTAGGATATATGCGTGTGTGCATAGTAGAATTATAACACCTTAATAATATAGCAACCATTTAATTAGCAAGAATATTTATGACAGTCCTATCCTGCTTCCTTTTCGCTGAGGTAGCTTACAAGCAGCTGCCGCCGCTAATAATAGCATTAGCGATAATAGTAATAATAATCAGGTGTGGGTTCCGCCAGCCCAGGACGCGCCGCGCTCCGCCCCTCATTAGCGATGCGCCCATGCAAATTCGCCGCCGCGGAGCTCCTCCCCCGCCGCCCCATTGGCCGCAGGCTCGGCGGCGCGGGGCGGGGCGGCGCTCGCGAGCAGCCAGGCGGGGGAGGGGCGCGCGGCCGCCATCTTGTGCGTGCAGCGACAGCCGGGCGGGCAGGCGGGCGGACGTGCCCCTTGGCCGAAGCGGGTGGCTTGCGGCGCCGACCCCGCGCGCTTCCCCGCGGCCCCGGACGGAGCAGCGCAGCCCGCGGAGAGACGAGAGCCGCCGCCCCCCGGCGCCGCCGCCGCCGCCCCTCCGCGGGGCTTTATGCTGCTGCGCTGCGGAGGATGCACGGAGGATAAATGGTGCCCAAGGCGGACAGCGGCACCTTCCTCCTCCTCTTCCTCCTCGTGCTCAGCATCACCGAGCCGCTGCGGCCAGGTACGGGGGCGCGGGGGGCCCCGCCGCGGGGCCGCCTTTGCAGCGGGGCATGGCGGTGCGAGGGGGCGCCGGGGCAGCCGCGGGGGCCGCGTGGGGGGCGGCGGGGGGCCCCGCGCGGCGCGCGTCCTCCTCTCTGGTGGGGGGGCTCTCTCCGGGGGGGGTGGGGCCAGGGTTGGGGGGGGGGCTCGCCTGCCTCTCTCCTCTCCCGAATGCGCTGCCGGAGGGTTGCGCTGCTCTGAAAGGGGGCGAGCGTGACCTCCAAGGGGGGGGGCGGCTTTTGTGTCCCGGCTGGAGAGAGCAGGCGCCCTCGGTGGTGGTTTTTGGGGAGCTGTGGAATAGTCTGCCTATGCAGGGTTGTGCCTCGGGGGGGGAGTCGAGGTCTGCGAGGAGTTGTTGCTATTATTGCGCTGCGTTTCTGCCCTGCCTGCTTTGCTCTTGTGGGGAACGCAGCCGGCTTACAGAGCTCCAGTTTGCCCTCCCAACAACAGCCCTGCAAGGTAGGGGAGGCAGAGTGGCAGTAGCTGGTCCAAAGTCACCCAGTGAGCTCCGTAGCTGGGTGGGCTCTAGAACCGGATCTCCAGGGTCCCCAGTCCAACACTATTAACCAGCATACAGTACTGGCACTCACTGGCGTGCTTTTATTGAAAAGGGGGTGGGCGTCCCCCCCACAATAGTGGGAAGCCCCCTGATAATGGTGGGAATAGTAGCTAGTACTCAGGGATGAGGAGGGGAAGGTAGGTCCTTCTCATGGTTGAGGAACCTAAGAGTTGTCCTCACTGGTGAGGGTGAAGGTTTGTTGCTACCTATTATGGGACCATGTGTGTCCGCATGGAACCAAAATTTGGGCAAAGCATGTGGAGACATTCCCTAAACTGGTGTATGATAGTTCCTCTTGCCTTTTTATCGGAGTTTGTTTGAATAAGAGTTCGAGACCTATCTGTTGATTGCAATAAAGGCAGTGGAATGCCACTCATTTTGGAAACGAACTGTGCTGACATTAGAAAAAATGTCTCCAAATGTCAGGGCAAAGGTATGGTCTCCTGAGGGTTGTTCAAGAGATGAAGGGGTAGGAGAATTTTCCCACTGCTTGGGACATGGCAACTTGTTGGTTTTGTGCTGGTGCATCTTTAACAGGTGAGGAGGGAGGTAAAGATTACCTAGGAAGAGAAGAATTGGAGCTTTGTTCAGGTGAAGGGGAGGAAATTGAGCTGCTGGTGTTTCAGGGGCTTGGGTTCTGGTTAAGAAGTGTGCCCTCAGAAGAAAGATATTTCTTAATGCTGTGTGGTGATGGACGCCAGGGTAGCTGGAGATGAGCCTATGTTTCTTGGCTATATGAGAATACAAAAGGGGGCCTTCCAAGTTCTGTATTGTGGAAGTAACAGGTCATCCTAGCCTTTTCCCTGTTGCAGTGCTATTTTCAGGCTAGCTGTGCTGCATTGTGGTTTGGAGTTTGAAAGCTTCAGAATTGGCATATTTGTTTCCAGTGCCAGTAGGTTGGGGAGCCGTGGAAGGGTGCTGAGCCCTTCGTTGCATCTTAACAGTTGGGGTGAGGGGGAAACAGCGATTCTTGTAGCAGTGCTTTGGGTGTAACACTCAGTTGCTGCATCTGTTCCCCTCCCCAACAAATTTATCTTCAGAGTACAGCACAAGCCAAAAGCTAAAAGTGTATTTTTTCAGGTAGCCAGGTTAGGGGGAAAACTGCCAGTTCTGTCCACCCATCAGTGTAAACCGAAATGGTCTGGCAGAGGAATGCAGAAAGAGCTTTGTGTTGCAGTGGGATTTTAATTGACTGATTAAACTGGCTTCTGTCGCTTCCTTTTTCTGTAATGCAATTTGGCAGCTTTTGGAACTTGTGGCTGTGAAATTCTCAACCAAATTTGCTCCTAGGTGGTGAGAAAAATCATACTGTATATAGAAGAAATTAGTTGGATGGCATTGCCTCTCTTGCAAAGATACGCTGCTTTGAAAGAGGCTTGTATCAGGAGAGGATGTAAAGGCTTTGATGTAGCATTTCCTGAGTAATGTGGCAGAGTTACATAAGTGTTCATTGCGTGTGCCTTGTTGGCATAACCAGGAACTGGGTGAAGCTTCAGGTTGCCATCATTTCAGAACTTCAGGAGCATTTTGAAAATTAACGTGCATTGTGAAAATGCTTTGCTGTATTATGTAACCTTGCTGCATGCAGAATGTAATAGGTTTTTATTGTTTGTACTCTTGTGAATAAGAATACTGGCTAGAACTTGGCTGACAATCTTGGTGAAGCCTAGCTGTGGCTTGTTCGTTACTCTATTGCATCAGTAGTCTAACGCTTAGCATAATCATAACATCGGGAATCTTTGCAACAGACTCTTGTCTTCAGGTAGTTTGTTTTGAAAGAGCCTTGTGTATAGTTGCAATAAGAACTTGGTCGCAGCATATATTGGATTGTGAGTTTAATGCTTGAGACAGCCAAAACAGTAAGGGAAGATAATTTCTACAGAAACACAGAATGTCTACAGAGCTTCCTTTCTTGTGTCTGACAGCTAGCTATATGTGGAAAAGGGAATTTTGAACCCACAAACTTTGTGTATTGGGGAGAATTATGCAGCAGTTTTGTTGAAGATGCCGCTGCAACTGTTCTTTCTACCAAAGAGACAGTCTGGCTTTTAAACTGAGAATGGCTTTGCCTCTTTAGCTGTACAAGGGCTGAAAACTCCAAAGCAACCTCTGGCAACTTGCAGGATTCGTGTAATATTAGACCAGGATTTTCATTAGATCAGGACCTGGGTCCTCGATAAGTGTGTTATATTTCGTTATAGGCAAAATCATTGTTTAGCTTGTGTCATTAATGTGATTTTGCTGCCCTAAGTTAATTGCTTTTTTAGTGTTCATAGCTAATATCTGCCTTTCCCAGCCTGGTGCCTGGCAGATGTGCCAAACTAGAACTCCCATCTTCTGTAGGGACTGTGGGCAATACCCATGTTGGCTGAATTTGATGGATTAAAGTTGCAGTTGAGCACAGCCGGGGTTGTATGATGGGCCGGGGTCGGCTGAACTAAAGAAAGCAGGGGCAAAAGTAAAGAAGTCTTGTTATCTCTTCTCTGTGGTGCTCTTGGAGTTTCTTAACTGACAAGGTTTTGCGTCCTTTCTCCCCAGTCCTTCTGCTCTTACATGAAAAATACTGTTATCTAACTCATCAGCTGGACCAATCAAGACCTTTGTTTTTGATTTGATGGAGGAGCCCTTTCTCGAAGAACTTTCTCCAGCAAAGTTCTGGTACCAAAGGTCCAAGGATGTTGTGTTTTTACTGGTATCTTTAAATGACTTGTACAGTGATATCTGGATTGGCATTTGTCAGTTCCTGGTAAGATAAGCTGTCAGGTCCTCTTTTGTGTTCTATTAGCACTGAAAGTCTCTTGTTTTCTAGATGGGGTTGTTAAAGTGGAGGTAAAGATCTGATTGAAGTAAAGTGGCTGTTAAAACCATTAGTCCTCCAGAATTGCAAAAATGTGGAATGTGGTCATTCTTTTAAAATAAAAGTTTATGTGCTCTGTCACAACTCCACAACATTCTTGTATTATTGCCTCATGGTGCCGTATAAAATAAACTGTCCGACCTCTGTAAAACTATTGGAATCTTTTTGTTGATGGAGAGCTGAGCTTAGGAATTAAGAGCAGCATTGCTTTGGAATGGAACGGCCTTCCATTCAAGTAACTGTTGTAGTATGGCTGCCATGTGAATCCCCTTTCTATACAAGGCCTTGAATTCAACTCATCTTCTGTGTCCACTCACCTACTTTTGGCATGACTATCCTACAGAAATCATCTTGGTGTATCCTCTGGTGAAAGTCTGCTATGATTCCAGGAGTTTTGAATCCCACAGCATGAGGTGTGCAGCCCAGTCCGTGTGTTTACTCTGAAGTCGATTGTGTTTTATTCAGCAGTGTGTATCGAGGACAAACTTTGGTTGATGCCTCTGGTGCAGAACTCTTTGTGCTGCTGAGCAGCACCTTGCGAAGCCCAGTGGGGTGCTGAGATCTTTCTCAGCTAGGCTGCCTATGTTTCCTTGAGCTAAGATGCCAGAGGATGAAGCTTGGACCTTCTCTGTACAAGCACATGCTTGCTCCCTGAGCTGTAACCTTGGTCATGATTAACTCGCCTCCATGGTCCTCCCTGAGATGGCTCATCTGGGTTATAAACACAGTCCTTGCCTACTTAGCATCAGCTGCTCATGGCCAGCCAAGCAGGTATAGGATTGCATTCTTGTGCTCTTAACCTCCTGTTTCCTGCAATGCAGGTTTGCTTGAGGGTGTAAGATTCAGTGCTATGTTCTTGGCATAATTAAATATGAACCATGAATGGACATCAAACACAAAATGATTCAAACCTCTTATTCATTGGGCTTCAAGCGTAAATGGGCAGGATCCGCAAGTCCTTGACATAAGGAGTTTGGTCCCCCTTGCACGATCATGTCTGTGTGCTTTCCCCTGCTTTGCTGGGGCATTCGGCAAGGGGCGGCATAGAAATGTTATAATAATAATAATATAATTCTTGAGAGAGGAGAGAATGAGAGGCTGACCAAATGAAAAGTAGGCTGGACATCTTTTACGGTTGCATAGAAGGTACTTTTGGTTAACCTTATAAATAAGTCCACAAAAGTTAACTAGCCCACAAAAAGATTTACTGGCCTGCGAGAGTGCGGCACGGGAGGGGCATGGCCCTTCCAGGGACATGGCTGCTTTTCTCTGCTGAGCTCCTACATGGCAGGCTTCCCTTTGCTGGCGGTTGTCTTGGTTTTCTGTGTGGGTGCAGAGCCGGGTCAGGACATCCTGTTCCTCCGTTTTGCTCTCCTGCCTGCATGCGATTCCCGGTTGCCTTTGGCTACCAGGTGAGTGGCTTAAATATAAGGGCACTTTAGGAGAGGAAAGGTTTTTTCACTGAGGCAGGAAAAGCTGCACTCAAGAAGAAGGCTTTGCCTTCCTCTGGTCACCTGCAACACAGGTGAAAGAAGAGGCTCATGTG